AAAAAAAAAAAAAAAAAAAAAAAGCAAGAGGGAAAATGCTATTCTAGGAGGAGGGATGGGCACAGGCAAAGGCCCTGACACAGGACCATGTCTAGTGCAAGGACCATGTCTAGTGCAGCCAGCCCAGACCCACAGAACCCTGGAGGCTGTGGGGAGGAGACTAGACAGTATTCTAGGAGCAGTAAGAAACCACCAGCAGGGTGGCTGGGCACGAAGGCTCACGCCTGTAATCCCAGCACTTTGGGAGGTTGAAGTGGGCAGATCACCTGAGGTAGGGAGTTCAAGACCAGCTTGGCCAACACAGTGAAACCCCGTGTCTACTAAAAATACAAAAATTAGCCAGGTGTGGTGGGACACACTTGTAATCCCAGCTACTTGGGAAGCTGAGGTAGGAGAATGGATTGAACCCAGGAAGTGGAAGTTGCAGTGAGCCAAGATGGCACCATTGCACTCCAGCTTGGGCAACAAGAATGAAGCTGTCTCAAAAAAAAAAAAAAAGAAAGAAAGAAAAGAAAAGAAAAAGAAACCACAAGCAGGTTCCAAGCAGAGCAATACCATGGTCCACCTCACATTACACATGAAAACCTCTGGGCCTGTTTCATAGGCAGCCTCCCTTAGGCCACCTTGACCCAAACCTGAAATCCTCTCTCCAGCCCCCAGTTACCCAACCCAGTTAATTCAGCCTCTTGGCTTTCCAGCTAGCCTTCCTCACCTTTCTCACCAGCCTAGCTTCGTCCCAGCCCTGCCCTCCACTTCCAAACCTCCAGGCCCTGCCCCTCACCTACCCTCCACACAGCAGCCAGGCAAGCAGTCTCCGGAACAGAAGCCAGATCAGACCCATCATTGAAGCCCTCGCTGCTCCATGCCACCTTAACGTAACACCCTACACTCTGCCCAGCCCAGGCCCCATCCACAAACCTGGGTCTCTCATGGCTGCTCCCCCTCAGTATTTGAGGTTACCTCTGCTCACAGCTCTGCCTCATCTCTACCCTCTGCCCACTGGGCCACCACTTTGGCTTTGTACTTTCTGACTGTGTGACCCTAGGTAAGTGACTTAACTTCTCTGTGTCTATTCCTTCAGTTTCCCGTCTGTAAAATGTAGATGATAATAAGGTAGTTGTGAGAATACAACAAATTTATTTCATTGTAACAGCTTCACAGGCAGATTTGTTATCCTCACCTTCCAGGCAGGAAAGCTGAGGCCCAGAGAGGAGAGGTGACTTGCCCAAGGTATCACAGCTAGGCCTGCTACAGCCAGGCCTTCTGACTTCCTTGCCAGTGCTCCCACCCACACCCCACTGCCCACACCCTCAAGAGCCTAGCGCTGCAGTGCAAGGGCACCCACCACACCAGTGAGCTCGGTGGCACATGGGTGGAGGGCAGTGCCACTGAGTCCTGCTGAACACAAGTGAAAGGGCCTGGCAGCTTGACCCAAGGCCTCAGGAGCAGAGACTGCAGAGGCCACAGCTTTGGTGAGATGGGAAAAATGACTTGGCATGGCCCAGGGGCACAGATGCCATCCTGGGAGGGGCACTAGCAGCTCCCTTCTCGGGTAGGGGCAGCCCCACCCAGGAACCTTGTCAGCTTTGGAATGTTGAATTCTGTTTCCCAGGGCCAGCTCCCAGGCTCTCAACAGAGGAGATCCCCTCCCAGGCGCCAAGGACTCGCTCGCTATTGGCCCTCCCTGCCTCTCCTGGCAGGTCAGCCTCCTTGTGTGGAACTGGGGTGGGGAGAGGGCTGTGACCCACCTCATTTTGCAGAAGCCTAAGTTGAGGCACCTGATCCAGGTACTACAGGAAGGGAAAGGAGGCCGGGGAGGGAGCCTGGCGGCTCCTTTCGCACCAGAATCTCCTCCCCACCGGCTAAACCAGGAGTGTTTGACACGCATCCCATATCCCAGGGTAGGAAGGAGGCTGGGCGACAGAGGGGGCGACCTACACCTAGCGCGCCCGTGGGGTCTTCAAGGAAACACCTTCCCTTTCTCCACCGGGCTTCAGGATTGCTCAGGGAAACTCCCCCCTACTCCAACCCCCACCTCGCGCTGTAGCTGGGACCAGCCCCCAGAAATCCGGGCCTCTCTGTAGCTATCTCGGGTGGTCCTGGAAGTGGGCATGGGGGTGGCAGAAGTGGGGGATGGTCCCGGGCTCCAAACTCTTGGGGCAGGGAGTGGTCTGACCCCTCAGAAGACTGAACCTCCCTCTCCCATCACCCCCCAGCACAGGGCAAGGGGCAGACCCCATGCTCACCCAGAAGACAATGTTGAAGCCAAACAGGAAGTATTTCCCACAGCAGCCGACCTCGGGTTCCTGGAAGTGATGGTGCTTGCTGGGCATGGTAGCGGCCACCTGCCGGCCCGGAAACCGGAGCCGGGAGCCAGGCCCAGCGCCCCGCGGGCAGCCCTGGGCTAGAGCCGCCCGGGGCCTAGCCCGGTGGCTGCGGCTTCATGGCCGCGGCCACACAGAGCGCCAGTCGGGCCCCGCCCGCCCCTCAGGGACCGCCCTCGGCACCCGGACAGCCTAGCCCTGAGCCCGGCGCTGTTCCCTCCAAGCCCCGCCTCTGGACCGGGCTCCGCCTCTGCCCCAGGCTCCGCCCCCTCAGCCCTGCCTTCACCCCCGTAGCCCAATTCAGTCCCACTTGACCCCGCCTTTGGACAGGGCTCCGCCCCCAGCTCCGCCCCCGCAGCCGAACTCGGACCTCCTGGCCCACGCAGCCCCAGCGTTTCCCAACGTCCTTCAGATGCGCCTGAGACGCTGGCTGATGGTGTCAGAGGCTACTGGCGTGAAGAAGCGGTAGCTCCCGGTGCTCGGCACCAGCGCCATCCCAATCCCCAGCCTGCTGTTGGAGCCCATCCCAGGGAGAAGAGTAACTGCTGCTCCGGTGAACGGATGGGGAAGCTGGTCCGGATTGAGTTTTTAAACACGTGCAGGACGTTTTGTCATAGTGGAGTCGCAGCAGACTCACCTTCACCCCGCAGAAATTCAGCTGTACTAATCCTGACTCAAAACTCAGACTAAGCGAGGGCCTGGGGCTTGTGCCACGCCTGCTGCGTCCTGCCAGGGGCATATGCCCCAGCACCTGGCTCAAGCCCCCTTGGTGGCTGAGGTTCCCCAGCCGTACCCCCTGTCCCCCATACCTGCCTGGGTCCTGGTCAGACTCCTTGGTACCTAGTGATCTCACATGAGCCCCTACAAGGCAGGACAGGGCCACAGCAATGTTCGGGGATACCTGAATCTTATTCAAGTTTAGAGCGTTTTAAAAATAATTCCAACGTTGTTCAGAAGTATTTATTTAGAACAGGAACAGAAAGATGCTTAAGCTTTATTATCAAGTTTATCCACCATGATGAGGCTTAGCCCAGCATTCCCCCACCTCCACTTCAGTCTGGCCCTGAGGCAGGCAAGGCCCAGACAGCCCTGGCCACAGCTGGTGAGAAGGGGAGCAGCCCTGCAAGCCTCTCTCAGTCCTCAGCAACCCACACATCCTTCTGTACAAATGATGTTGTTCACCCTCCAGCCCTCAGCCCTTGGGGTGGGCAGCCCCACTTCATGGACCCACCCACAGCTGGTGGAGGGAGGGGATAGCATCCAGGGTGAGCTCTGAAGCTACAGAGCTGATGAGGTTTTTAAGCAGAGTGACCCCAACTCCTGTCCCTGAAGTCCAGCTCTCAGAGTGTCTGTACCCTGGAGCCCCCCACCCACGGAAGAGCACTGGACCATAGGCTTTTCCGCCTGCCATAGTGCCCTCCTTCCCCCATGACTCAAACCATTGGAAGGAGTTTCCTCCACCCTGCTGCTGGATCCTCAGACTGCCAGCACTACCCCCACCTAGCCCCTAGGCCCGACTCATGTTAAAGAGTGTGCATTCCTGTTCACTGGAAGAGAGATAAGAACCAAGCTGTGTGATTCCCCAAGTCCTGCCCCACCCTCATCCCCCAAAGTTATAAGGCTCCTGTGGTGGCTGTCCCATTACACAGGAGGGGTGCCAAGGCCCCCCTCACACCACAAACTTGTTCTTGGCTAGAGAGTTGCTCTTGGTGGCTGTGTCTGCATGGGCCTGGTACCCAATGATGGTCTTTGGGGAGAGGCCCAGGCGCTCTTTGTATATACGCCTGTAGGTGCGGGGAACACAGAGGAAAAGAGACACACAGGTAGTCATCAGAGGGTCCTAGAGATAATTTAGGGCACCAGACTCCTACCCTCATTCTGGCCACAGCCACTCGTGTTGTGTGTCTTATGCATGTGGAAACCCAAAATAGGACTCCTTAATGCAATAGGAGAGCTGCACTGCAGTAATAGAAAGGGTTGAAAATCTGAACGCTAGACCCTTCCATACAGGTGGGCAAGGCAGAAGGGAGAGAGGCTATGGAGACTTCCAGAGGTCTCCTTTGTAGGCCAAGCCACCTCCACCCACCTTCCCTCTAGAAAAGACCCAGCCACCACCCTGTGCCAGAGACTCTCCTCACCCAATGTGCAGCACGCCTGCCTGGTTTTCCGCCTCCCTCGTCCACACGGCGATCTTGTCCCCCTTGGTGCGGATATTGATGACGGCCCCACACACATCCCTGCTGTGCTCCTCGAAGCTCTCCCCGATCAGACACAGCAGCTGGGCCCGAAGTAGGGGGTTGTGAGATCACCAGCTGCGACATAGGGACTGCCCGACCATCCTTGAGACCACTGCCACCATGAGGCCCACACATCCCCTCTTTCCCTGAGGATCCTCCCCTCTCCAACTCACTGTCTCCAGCCACAGCCGGTCCAGCTCAATGTGGCGCTGCTGCTTGGCCAGGCTGACCAGCCAACGGCCACCCCGCTTATTCCTGCTGTCCTCCCACATGGGCTCGATGCCATCCTGCAAGGCAGATGGCAAGTCAACTGCCTCTCTGTGTTCAAAGGGAAGTGGGGACCCACCTACCCTCCCAGCCTATCCGCCCTCTGCTGAGGCCCTAAGTAGGCCAGATTCTCTTCTCCTCCCTCAGCGCAAGCAGGTTCCACCCCCAGCCACTCAGCCCTGGACAGATAGCACTGGTCACCTTTTATAGCCTTGTATCTGTGCATTTGTTAAATGCACATATTAAGGAAGCCTGGGGAGGTGGCGGGGTGGGGCAGGTGGCGGGGTGGGGGAGGTGGGGGGGCAAACCCCAATGCCGGCAAGGGGGACATCCCGGGCTTGGCTGCAGGGTTCCCAGGCTGGGCAGAAGTCACCTGGGGAGATCTCTAAACACAGTGTCAGCCCTCCAGGGACAGGTGTAGCATCAATGAGTGTCCTCAGGCAATTCTGATGCCCTTCCCTAGTGAAGGAGCCAGGCCAGAAATCTCTTTCCCTCCCTCTTCTCCTTCCTGCCTTGTAGGTCCTCCGAGGTACAGCTAGAGCCTGACTCTGTCCAGACTCCTGTAGAGCATTTCCTCCAGTCAGAAACCGCAACTCTGCTGAGAGGTGGCTTGTGGCACCCCACCCCCATTCCTTTGTGAGGGATTAACGCAGCAGAAGCTGGGAGGGATCAGCCCCTGGTCCCTTTGCAGGAGGGAAAGAGAGCAGAGCTTACCTTGAATAGAGCATAGTCACAGCCGGAGGAGAGCTTGCTGGCCAGCTGGATGTGACTGTACAGCCTGGACAGAGCCCCCACCCCATGCCAAAAGTCAAGGTTTTTTAGGGCCTGGTTCCGATTGGGCTCAGTCTTCCCAACTCCTCACCTGACCCCATGGCCTCCAAGCCTTTGCTTACACTGGCCTGCCACCTGAGATTCCACCCCCACTTACCCAAACTCTCAAGACCCACCTTCTCCACAGAGCCTTCCCCGTGCCAACCCCTGGGGAGGGTTTTGGATCCCCGGTGCTCCACCTCCAGCTACAGCTGGGGCCTTCTCACCCTCCCTAGGGCTTGAGCAGCCCGTTTCAGATCCACTCCCTTGAGCACCCGGGACTCCAAGACAAATGAGTCTTCCCTTTGCAGCTGAGACAGGTTCAGAGAGGGGAAGGAGCTCACCCAGGTCACAAAGCCATTGAGTGTCTGAGTCAGGGTCACCTCCCTGCTCCTCCAGCTCCTCGGGCTCCCTCCCTGAGCCCTAAGAAGGTGATGGGATGGGGGTGGGGGGTGCCTGTGCCCTACACCCCCTGGGCAGAACCCACCAAGCCCCAGGCCTCACCAAGGCTGAAAGGCGCTAGGGAGGGCTGGGCTGGTTCAGCCTGGAGGGAGAGAGCATGGAGCTCAGAGCGACCCCCACCCCCAACTCCAGCCCCGCTGGGGTCAGACACTTACGCCCAGAAGTCCTCCACAGTGTCCACCTTGGTGACCAGGTGCAGGTTATCCTGCCAGGCCCGGCTGCGGTCATTCTTGAAGAACCACAGAGCCCACCTGGTAGGGGAAGGGGCAGAGGAAGGTAGCCAGGAGGAAGCAGAGAGCCCCTGAATACACCCCCAGGACACCTGGACTGACAGGGAGGACCCTCCCTTCAAGGGCAAACTGGAAGATGAGATTTGGAGCACAGAATCCCCCCCACTCAGATGATTGAAGTCAGTTGTCCTGAAGGACAGGGGAGTTGGGGAAGGTTATGACCCACAGTCTCTGTGGGGTTAGAGCCGGAAGGACCAACAGGGCCCAAGGTTTAGGTCAGCTCTGGCCTCCCACGGATGAAGAGCTGGGACCGAGAGAGGAAGGGGTTGCCCAAGGCCAGGCTGCCAGCACAGAGGCTGGCCTGAAAGCAGGGGGCTGTGTCCCACCTGCAGACCTCTGACTACCTGTTCTGCAGGGGGTGCAGCTCCCGCTTGACTTTCATGGGGCTCCCCACCTGGGCCTTCTCTCTCAGAGACAGTGAAGTCCTCGGAGAGTTTGGAGCCTCTTTTCCCATGGGCGTCCTCTCTGCTACCTTCTTTTCCTTCCGCTCTCGGATTCCACCCTCAGCTTGACTCACCTGAGCAGAAAAAGAAGTCAGGGTAGGCTGTGGGCTCTGGGCTGTGAGCCCTGGACCTGGCTGTCCCCTCTCCCACCCACCCTGCCCATCCCCTGCTCCAGGAAGGGCAGGCAGGGGGACTCACAGAGCCTGCAGTAGCCATGCCCAGCTCAAGCTCCATGGAGGACCCAGCATCTGAGAGGCCCCACCTACCAGCTTTTAACTCACCAGCGCCTGCCCCGGCCCACCTGGGGCAGGGAGGGGGTGGGGCCATGGTGCAGCGGGTAGAGAGGCCAGCCTGTTTACTTCATCAGCAAGCATTTAGTGAGTGTTGTCTTCGTCTTTGTGCAGGCTTGGGGCTGGTGAAGCAGCTGTGACCAAGCCAATCCAGCCCCACACAGTGGGGGCCAAGACATGAACGTAAGGGTCAATATTTGGAAGGGAAAGCAAGGTCTGCATCCCATGGAGGGTGACCCCTGAATGTAGGCTGTGGGCTGTGAGCTCTGGCCCTGGCTGTCCCCTTGCCCACCCTGCCTATCCCCTGCTCCAGGAGGGGCAGGCAGGGGGACTCACAGGGCCTGCAGTAGCTGGCGTAGACTGCCCTGCAGATGGCAGAAGCAGTGACACTGACAGCCGTGGGCCGTCAGCACC